GACTGTGAAAGCCTCCATCTAGAGCAGGTCATGGGATCACAAAACTATATGTGAGACACAGAAATCAAGTCTCCCATTTTCTGGATATTCGAAGCAAGTTTTAGAAATTTGCTCATGCTCACCGGAATCCTTTAGGGACACACTTGGAATTTAGCTTAAGAGGACAAGACACTGGCAAAGCTTCAAAAAAATTGAAGCCATTAAAGAAGGAAGAAAATAGCACAAAATAGGGTGGCTGGGTTGTTCTGTGCAGAGGAGAGCTGGCAAATGCTAACAGGGGTAGGGCGAGCCAAGGCAGCACTGAACTGTAGGATTTAACAATTTCATGGTGTGCATACTCGGTGCAAGCCACCGATGCCACTGAGCGATTTCCACGTGGGAAGAGATGAGTGTGGTTGAGGTGCCTCTTGAGAATGATGGAGTCTGGATAGTAGTGATCATTAGGACCTTAGGAAGAAGCGAATACAGCTACTCCAGGGGATGGAGAACTCTCCACTTTAGGGGCTACAATTTCTTTTAAGTTTCAGCTTTAAAACGGGAGGGAAGGTCTTTGTGAAGCTTTCCCAAAATGATCACTTCTCCTCTAAATGCCGAAGTATTTGTTAATACCCCCCACGGTGGCGATGGCCAAGGTCTCAGTTGATGCTGTCTGTCAAGTTGGCCCTCTCTGGACTGTCCTTGGAGGTTGTGCCTATGTCTTACTGTTTCAGTGTCAATGAGCTGGGAGAGTGTTTACAGCAGGAGCTCAGTGAGTCAGCCTGCTTGACTAATGGCACACATAGCACTCACTTTTCCTCCCTGATATCTTAGAAGTCAGCAACTCCTTTTGTAGAGGGAGCTATCAATACGGAGTATATCCCACAGGTTAGCTGTGATGACAAATGAGATTATTAGACAAGTTCAGAGCCTGACACATTTCTACCCCAATAAACACTATGCGGTCCTATTGTCTACCAATATTGAACCCAGTGCCTGCCACACACTGGTGTTTAATTTTTGCTGAATTGAATTGACACACAACATAGGTGTGATCTGGTTAGTCTGGGAAAGGGGGTGTGAGAACTCTGTGAACGCCTTATTGTTGGGGAAATGGGAATGGCATATTTAATAAAAGTCAGAGGATCATAGAATTGCAGGATCAGAACTGAGTTTCCCTGCTGGGGCATTGTGAACACAGAGCAGGGTGTGCTCATCTGTGCCCTCCCTTCACCCCATGTGCTAGACACTGTTCATCTATAAATACATCATCTGTTAATGCAATAGCTTTTATAGACTGCCATTGATTGAAATATCTTCTTTGCAGAACAGTTGCTTTTGGGAAAAAAATAACAAATGCTAGCGTTTGAGAATAAATACCATTGCATTTCATTCCATTCGGTTCCATCCATCATTGCAATTAATCTGCATCTCTTCAAACTCCATTCAGCAATTTATGGGGCGTCATATGTCCTCACTGGGTTTTTATCGTCTGCACTTTCTCCAACTCAGTTTCAGTTTTGTTCTTTAAAACACTATATAGGTCACTTCTAAGAACTGAGTCTCCTGACATGTCACTAAAAACCTCTTTCTGCACTGGCATTGATTCATTAAACAATCCTTTCATTTCTTTTCGGATATAGATTTTTAAAACCCCTTCTCGATCTGTCAAAGCATGCAGTAATCCTTGTTGTAGTTCATCGTGTTCACAAGAATGTCAGGGGAAACTTTGCCAAAAAGCTCTCTCTGCAGCATCGCCTCTCACAGATACATTAAGTCTGTTAGCAAAGAAATGACTACATTTTCTTACAAGCTGTTCCTGGCTGACCTGTGTTGAGCATCCTTAAACCAAATGACTTTCTCTTCTGAGTCTCGTGATCCATGGCACTGAAATTAATTCCATTCAGGTAGGCTAGATTCACACACAGGCCTGGAACATGTAGATGAGACATTTGGGCGCAGTGCTAAGGACAGGGAGAAGTCGTTGAACTTTTGAATGGACATTGTATGGCAAAGTCTTAAGGGGTGTGTGTGTGTGTGTGTGTGTGTGTGTGTGTGTGTGTGTGTCAGTGTGCCCATGTGTGTCTGTATATATTTGTAGGACGTAAGTTGACAGTGAATACTTTTCTTATTTACTCTCCACCTTGTTTGAGACAAGGTTTTTCATTGTATTTGGAACTCTCAAATTAGGCTAGGCCGACTGGCCAGTGAGCTCTGGGGAATCCACGTGTTTCTGCTTCCCCAGAGCTAAGATTACAGATGCATGCTGGGGAGCTGGACGCAGATCTTCATGTTTGTGCTGAAAGCATTCTACAACTAATCAAATCCATAGCATTCAATAAGAAAGCCACCAGGAAGCAGTGTCTACATCAGACTCTTGGGGCACATCATGTGAACCCAGAATTCCTGCAGGAGTCACAGGATCTGCTAGACTTCTCTGGTATAGGCTGATTGCAATGAAGACAGAATACAGTTGCATTTAAAAGAAAAAGAGGCCAAAAGAACTTATTGGGGAAAGATGATAGGACTTGAAAATAAATAAATAAATAAATAAATAAATAAATAAATAAATAAATAAAT